AGGCCATAATACTCAAACCCCACGCTCAATGCAGGATCAGCCTACAGCATCCCTGACAAGTGTTTGTCCAGCCGCTGCTTGAAGACTGCCAGTTATCTCTGCCACCAGACTAGAAATATCTTGAAAATGGAAAACAATTGCAAACTTTGTACTGAGTCCTGGTACAAGATGTCAGTCATCATCAGCAACATCATCTCTCCCCCCCACCCAGTCCCCTCCATAGCAATAAAAATAGAACGTCAGGTTCTACAATGCCAAGACCACAGCCACACATCCCGGAAAATCTACAGCAGCTAATGAACTCCGGCCACCTTCAACAACATATTAAACAATGAACTGACAGGCAATATAGATGAAAGACTTGAAGTCGATCAGCTGCTTAACAGAGAGCAATGAACCACTGCAAGGGAAGAAAAACAATCCTCCCTTTGTTTCCGCTATATTAAAAGCAAGCATTTCATGTTATCGGTTTCCAACGCAGCCGCCCTGTTTTGCAGGCACTTGAATATTTACTCTGCATCCACACCCCAGTGTCTTGGCCAGCAAATGCGAACTTCCACGAGGCCACATAGTGCTGAAGCAGAAGCGATATTCTGCCATATGGTTTGACTGGATCTGACTGAAGCCAACAGAATCCAAGAAGGAGGCACATTTCAGGGCCTGTGTCAGCGTACCCTTAGGCGGGGCAGCTGCTGGAACTGGAACCCAGGGTTTCTGGCAGGGCCCACAGCTGTTGCCAGCACCCCCTGCCCACTCACTCGCCAGCCCTCCACCACCCATGCTCTCTGCTCCATATGCTGCCCGGTGCCACTGGGGAAAGGTCAGCAGGCAGCTCCGGGCACAGGCAGTGGGCCGACAAGGGAAGGGAAGGACACACAAACAAGTGGAAGGCATGCAGATGGGTGGGAGGGAAGGAGAGTGTGAGTACGCAGTGGTGGGCAGAGGAGGAGAGGGCACTCTCTGCTCCAGCCACTAAAAGCCTGAAACTGCTCCTGCTTCAGCCTATTGATTTTGGTGTATTTGCATGCCCCAGTACCCCTAGCCGGGGTGCAGCTGTAATCTTTGCCTCTGGAAAAAAAATATTTTTGTTGTTCAGTCACACAGTCGAGTCCGACTCTCCGCGACCCCATGGACCAGCTCCCGCCAGGCCTTCCGGTCTTCCGCCGTCCTCTGAAGTTTGCTCAATTTCATGTTCGTTGTATCTATGACACTGTCTAACCATCTCATCCTTTGCCGTTCCCTTCTTCTTTGACCTTCAATCTTTCCCAGCATCAGGGTCTTCTCCAGTAAGTGCTCCCTTCTCATTGGGTGGCCAAAGTATTTGAGCTTCAGTTTCATTATCTGGCCTTCCAGGGAACAGTCAGGGTTGATTTCTTTTAGGATTGACTGATTTGATCTTCTTGCAGTCCAAGGGACTCTCAAGAGTCTTCTCCAGCACCATAGTTCAAAAGAATCTATTCTTCGGCGCTCGGCCTTCCTTATAGTCCAACTCTCGCAGCCATACATGACTACTGAAAGACTATTGAAAGAGGTAGTCAATCTTTAAAGGTACAATTGTGGTCTTAGGGTACTGTCTCAGTGATGATCTGGTTCTTATAGATCCACATGGGTCAATGCAGGGGTAATTCATGAGGACAACCAGATGGATTTCACCTAGAGAACTGGTGTTGAGTAGTGATGGGCATGAACTGGGAAAATGTGGTATGGTTCATGGTATGCCAGCTTCATGAACCATGAAACATCACAAATAAACCAGTTTCATTTGTGAGGTTTGTGACATAGTTTGCCGGCTGTGTAAGTGGAACCTGATTTCAGCAATTTCAACAGACCACAAGGTTCATAGTATAAGGAGCGAATCATAGGTTCCTGAGTAAAATGAGTACATGGCCTTTATGTCTTATCATCAAAGGAGGAAATATTGCATCTAATGCCTTATTATAGCTATAGTATGCATTAATGTTGTTGTTGTGTCACCCCCAACTTTATAATTGTTTAATATATTGTTTTGGCAATCTTTGATGGTGTTTTCTACTAGTGGAATTTGCATATTTGGGACTCTGAATGACCTTGGCCCAGTCACTTTCTCAGCCTAACCTTCCCTCACAGGATGGTTGTCATGAGAATGATGAAGTAGGGGGAAACAATGTTGTAAGGTCCTTTGGAGGGGGAAAGCTGGGGGATAAACATTGAGAATTAATCACATTTATCATGGCTCAGTGGTAGAACCTCTGATTTGCATGCAGAAGGTTCCAGGTTCAGGCAGGGCCGGACCCAGCTTATTTTGCACCCTAGGCAAGGATCCCTTCTGGCGCCCGCCCCCCCACCATGCATCCACCAATTTTCAAAAATAAATGCATTTTAGGAAGAATGAAAAACACAAATAATCAAGAAACTCCCAGAGTATGGGGAGGGTGCAGCTTGGCGCCCCTAAGGGCCGTCCCGCTCTAGGCGATCGCCTAGTTTGCCTAGTGAGTGAGCCGGCCCTGGGTTCAGTCCCTGGCATCTCCAGTTGAAAGGATCAAGCAGTAGGTGATGTGAAAGACCTCCGCCAGGCCAGTGTTATCTACTCTGACTGGCACTGCTGGCCACTAGTGACCTTGGTAGATCAATGGCTTGACCTGGTATAAGGTAGTTTCATTTATCCATGTATGTTCTGGTACTTTACAGAAGGAAAACATTTGGCACCCTTTGGGGCTTGAAGATACCATTTGCTATCATATATTTTTAAAAAATGTTTTAAATGAGAGATGGCTTTTCCAGATATTTTAGGCTTTCACTTTAAGGGGGGGAAAAACTTTTTTCAAAAGAAACACCATTTGGAATAGAGACACGAGCAAGGTGGAATCCCTCACTACGGCTGCCAACCTACAGGTGGGCGAACACGCAAAAATGGAAACACAGCAAATGCAGTTATATTTTATTTAGTTATTTAGTTATTTTTTTGTATTTGTATCCTGCCCATCCCGTGAGCGGGCTCAGGGCGGGTCACATCATCTCAAATAATGCAACAAGGTTTAAAACACCATAAAACATTGCATTATAAACATTTAAAATCAGTAGTTATAGCTGCTGGTGCAAATTCCGACCCATTAATACTGATTGTTATGGCTGCTTGCTGGCAGATGGGTGGCCAGTAGGTAGGAGACGGCAACCTCGGGGAGGCCACATGTGGACGCCCGCTGCCTCAACCAAAAGCCTGGCGGAAAAGCTCCATCTTGCAGGCTCTGCGGAACTGAGTAAGATCCCGCAGGATCCTGATCTTGATGGGGAGCATGTTCCACCAGGTGGGGGCCAGGGCAGAAAAGACCCTGGCCCAGGCTAAACGGCAAATCTTTGGGCCAGGGACCACCAGGAGATGTTGATTACTAGAACATAAAGCTTTTTGAGGCGTATACAGGAAGAGGCAGTCCCTTAGATATGTTGGTCCCAGGCCGTATAAGGCTTTGAAGGTTATTACCAACACCTTGAAGTAACATGTACATATGTGCAGGGGTCATTTTGTAGAAAAAGCAGTGCAGGAGCTTATTAGCATAACTCATTAAGATGACTTATTTGCATATGCCACACCCCCTGACATCAGAAGGCAACACCCACCACTCAGGCTCCACTGGACTGTTTTGGTTTGCTAGCTATTGGGGGTGGGGGGGGGAAGTGCAGATCTGTCCTCACAGAGGAGGGAGAGCTTGTACCTGAATAAAACTTGGTCTTAAAGGTGCCACTGGACTGTTGGGGGGGGGGGTCTCTGCAGTTTACCTGGCTGCTTCTTGCTCTGACTGAGGGCTGCTGGGAGCAGGGGGGGGGGCTTGTTGCATGGACCCGCCCCCTGGGCTCTTTACTGCCGGAGCTCCGCTCCTGTGCACTCCTGCAGGAAATGACCCCTGCATATATGTATTGATTTTGGTTGTAAGTAGAACTGTATAAGAAGACAGTAGTCTCAAGTGTGATTTGTACAGCAGGACAGATTATTCTGTTTATTTGTCCATATAACCTCCAGGTGGGGGCTGGAGATCTTCTAGAATTGCATCTGATTTCCAGACAACATAAATTGCTCATTATTTATAACATTTTATTCCACTTCTGGAGAAAATGGCTCCTTTAGAAGGTGAACTGCATGGCACTATACCAATGTGGCACTAGTGGGTGCTATGACGCCCACTGACACCTTTCTTCATGGCCACCCAGTGTTTTTGGAAAGTGGGTGGGGCTCTGCCAGTGAAGACCTGACTGGCTCTGCAGATTAAAATGACACCGCCGCTCTTCTTTCCCAGTATGTTTTCAATTACCTCTCTTCTCCCCTCCACAGGGGCTTCCTCTGCATGGTTGGCTCTGCCACCTGTGGCAGCCATTTTGTGGTTCGCCCACCACCCTGTGTCAGAAATCCAAAGGTGCCCACAGGTTGGGGACCCCCTGCATGATACCCTACCAAAGTCCCTCCCCCCTCCCTCAAGGCCATTCTCCTGGGCTCCACCTTCAAATCTCCTGGTATTTTGGAACCCAGAGCTGGCAAAAATTATTTGGGGCAGGGTAGAGTTGCCAGATCCAGGTTGGGAAACCCCTGGAGATTTGGGGGTGGGGAGGACAGGGACCCCAGTGGGGTGCAATGCCACAGAGCCCCTCCAAAGCCTCCCTTTTTCTTCAGGGGAACTGGTCTCTGTGGTCTGGATATGAGCTGCAATTCCAGGGGATCCCCCGGTCCCACCTGGAGGCTGGCATCCCTAGGGCAGCGGCTCAACCTGTCAGTGCTCTGAGGGCGAAGGGGACCCCCCCACACACACACACACAACCCCGTAGACAACACAATCGTTCCACCCCCCCCTCGGCCAGCCTCCCCAGTCAATGGATAACAACGGCGGGTCCATTCTTCCTCGCCTTGCTAGCCCGCCCGCCCCTGGGCTCGGATTGGCCGAGAGCCGGCGGCGAGGGAGAGGCTGCTGCAAGAAGGTGCTCTCGCCCTGGAGGCAGAAGGCTCGCTGCTGCTCCCTTTGGGTTCCCTTGCGAGAGGCTTCCCGAGGGAGGAACCCGCCTGCCGGTGGCTTGGGAAAGCTCCGCGGCCATGGGGGAGAAAGCCGTGCGAGCCCTGGATCCGTGCCGCGAAGGTCAGTCGCTTCGTTTCTCCGAAGAGGGGCAATGATCGAAAGGGGTGCCGGGGTGGTGGGGGAGGTGACTGGCAAGCGACCTTCTGCCCTTTGGAAACTCGCCATCTCATGGAGGGAGGGAGGGACTGGAAATCCTGGGCTTGGCTGCGCAGCGGTCTTTGCACGTGCTCAGAGGCAATTCGCCACCTCCCCTGTTTCTTCAGAGAAGGTAGCCCTGAGGGTTTGTTAAAGCGAAATCAAACAAAAGCCCAGTAGTACTTTATAGGCTACTGTACTCTAACCTAGCAGTTCGAAAGCAAGAAATTGCAAGTAGATAAACAGGTGGGAAGGTAACAGCGGTTCCGTGCGCCTTGGTGTTTAGTCATGCCGGCCACATGACCACGGAAACGTCTTCGGACAGCGCTGGCTCTTCGGCTTTGAAACGGAGATGAGCACCGCAACCCTAGAGTCGGATTCGACTGGCTTTCGAGCAAGGGAACCTTTACCTTACTCTTTTTTCTTCACATTCCTAGCATTTAGGGTTGCTAATAACAATAACCCCGTAGGTTAGGCTGTGTGTGTGTGACTGGCCCAAGGTGATCCAGCAAGCTTCCGTGGCAGAGCGGGGATTTGGACTTTGGTCTCCCAGACGTTAGTCTGATACTCTCGCCATTACAGCACCGCTGGCTCAAGCCTTATGCGACTGTAGTGGTGGAAAGTTGCAGCAGGACTTGCAGCGACCCCGCAGGGTTTCCTAGGCATGAAAACAGGTGGCTTGTCATTGGCTACCACTGCATGACACCCGTGGACTTCTTTGGTAGTCTCCCGTCCAAGTACTAACCAAGGCCGACCCTGCTTAGCTTCTGATGGGACTGATGAGACAAGACCAGCCTGGGCTGTCCCATATGAAGAAAGCAGTTGGACTGAAAATGTGTGTGTGGGGGAGAAATAGCTGTAAAAGTCAAATTGAAATTGAGAGACAAAAATTGCTGGTGCAGAGGCCATGCTTCCAAAGGGCCAATGAATCAGGGCATAGCCCAGGAGTGGCCAAACTTACTTAACGTAAGAGAGCCACATAGAATAAACCTCAGATGTTTGAGCCTCATGACGTGAACAAATAGTATACATGTCTTTATTGAAAAAAACATGCAGACTTGCTTTTTGTTATCATTAAATGAGACTGCCAAAAATAAAAACAAAAAGGGTAAAAATAGATATTGATAATGATATTTATTTGTCCAATGATATTTGTAGGCGGGGGGGGGAGCCTTTGAGAACACATTTACAATTAAAGTTGCTTTCTTTCTCTACTTCCCCCCCCCCCCAAGCCTGCCCAGGAAGGGGAACTTGCTTATGGGAAGGGGCACGCCTCCCCTTCGCTTGCCCAACTGCCCTGCTGGGAGCCACACAATACATGTGAAAGAGCCACATGTGGCTCCTAAGCCACAGTTTGGCCACCCCTGGCTTAGCCCATTCCATATGCAGAGTGGCTTGCCCTCCCTGCAAATCTGTCAGATGCAGGTGGGGGAAGGTTTACTCTGAAATTACTGGGCTATACAGTACAAGCCATTTTTGGCTGCCCACACTTAGTCCTGGTACATGTTAGTTTACCGGGGAGAACATTAAGACAAATACATGGTGCATGTAATAAATCATGCTTCTGAGTATCTGCTCTCCCTCGATATCTGCCAGTAGGGCAGAGGAGACCAAAAGGCAGGTTTGAGCTCCAGAATTTCTCACTGTAGAAACGAAGCAGATGATTAAAGGTGACACTAATAGTACTGTAATTATTGGCAGATGATCTCTTAGGAATCTTACCACTGAGTCACGGATAAGGCATGACCATGCCTGGCACGTATGGCGTGAAATGTGGCATTAGTTCAGGGGAATAGGTAAGGAGAGGAGGCCCAATTAGTTTGGTGCCACAGGTATATAATTCAAAGGTGTAAAAATGTAATAGTATTGAAGTAACTGACAAGTTTCTGCCCTGGGTTAGGCCATCTTAACTTACTAATGGTAGGCTGACTTTATATTCAGTATACGTTCAGGCACTAGATGGGGGGGGGGTTGATTGGACCCTGTTTGTTTCAAGGCAGGAGGGGGGTATAATTTGAAATTTCTAGGAGCAATATGGACTTAGGATGAATGTTGTTCATGTGTTAACTTTTATAATCATTTGACCTAGACTTTGGAAATGTTGGCAGTGATCAATTGATCATTTGTTTTTCTTATGAGGGCTGTGAAGAAAAGCATTTTTTCTTTGGAGGCTTGAAATAAGCAAAACCTTCACTCTGAGTTTTAAATTTTTTCTCTCTCTCTGGGCAGAGAACAGGCGGGAAGGGGAGAAGTCAGTTCAATTGCTTTCCAGACTTACCTCAACCCGCCTTCATACAAATGCTAATAGGTCTAGATAGTGGGATGGTCAAGCTCCCCCCCCCCCAGGCGGGGAACAGAGATTTGAAGGAATTAAATACTAGCGAGACTTCAGGATGGAAATTTCCTTGACTTGGAGAGACTTCCTTGACCTGGTCTGACTGGGTCAGTGGGAGGGGAAAGGGAAAAGATAAAACTCCTGGAAGCAATGAGGAAGCTCTCTTTTGTGCTGAGTCCATCAGAGCAGACTGGACTCTTAACTGAGGGCTGGAGGAAGCTTTAAGGTAATGGTCACTCTGTAGGAGTTACGGTGGCTCAAGTGGTTAAGACGCTGAACTGCAGGCTGTGGAAAGTCAGTAGTTCGAGACCCGGGTGCCGCATGATGGAGTGAGCTCCCATCTCTAGTTCCAGCTCCTGCCAACCTAGCAGTTCAAAAGCAAGAAATTGCAAGTAGATAAATAGGTACCACTTTGGTGGGAAGGTAACAGCGTTCCGTGCACCTTGGTGTTTAGTCATGCTGGCCACATAACCAATGATATTTGTTTGCTAATGATATTTATCTTCCCCAGCCATCCTGCCAGGAGCCGCACAATATGTGTGAAAGAGCCACATGCAGCTCCCAAACCACAGTTTGGCCACCCCTGATCTAAGCTAAAGAGCCTGCCCTATATTTTAACAGCTGATAGGGCACATAAAGAGAAAGGGACAGAGGAATTATATTTTTACCCCTTTCTTTTGGTTTCTTTGCTCAATCATGCTAAAAGTATACTTGTAAACATTTTCTTATTAATAAATACCTTATAACCTTGGATGTTGGCCATGGTTCTCCATAACACATAGACCTCCACCATCTTGGACACACTATTTTAAAAGGAAAGCCAGGAGGGGAAAGGCAAGTAGTTGGCAAGCAGCTATTCCTCCAGGGGTGCACAGGGCAGTAAACTGCCCCTGTAGTGACCAGGCACTGGGCAGTGGGAGAACTTGGCCTCTGGGCCTCAGAACTCGGAAGGGAAGCTGGGAGTCCTGACCCTCCCAGCAGGCAGTTCCTACAAAGGTCCAGTAGTGGTGGCAGGTTACCGGAGAGAGAGAGAAGCCTCGCCAGGTGTTGGGAAAACCTTGGAAGGTAGAGTGAAGGCCCGTTTCATCACAAGGGTGTTACCCAGTAATGGAAACCAAGATAATTGACCTTTTGCCGTTGCTCATTAAAACACGTTCTTATTAACTGGTTGAACAAGTTGGTGTTCATGGCTTAATAAGCATGCCTCTTGGATGGCTGGGCACAGCAACCATGTGATATGAAAACACCTGGCAGAAAGGTAATATCTTGTCGATAGGGTTCCCAACCTCCAGGTGGTGGCTGGAGAGCTCCCACTATTACAACTTCTTCTCGAGGTGACCAAGATTAGTTCACCTGGAGAAAATGGCTGCTTTGGAAGTTGGACTCTATGGCATTATTGCCCAAACCCTGGCCTCCTGAGGCTCCACCCCCAAAATCTTCAGGTATTTCCTAACCTGGGGCTGGCGACCCTACTAATGGATACTGTGCCCAGCAGTGGATGAGATGGTTTGCATTACACAGACCGGATCAGAGATCAGTGGCTTGGATCCTAAGCCTAGTTTCCACTTGTGCAGCAACCTCTTCTTCAGTGGAGGCAATCGCTGGGCGTCAGGCTCTTATGTTCACAAAAGACCAGTGCATTTCAGTGAGCTGAAAACTGCTTAGCGACAGAGGAATACAGTCTGCAGAAGAGGCTCCTTGCCACAATAAAGAAACAGGGGCATAAGCAGAAAGAAAGTTTAGGATTGGAGCCCATATAAATAGCTGTTGTCATTGGGGGGGGGGGGGGCTGTGGCTCAGTCAAAGAGCCTCTGCACCGTCCCAGGTTCAGTCCCCGCATCTCCAAAGGACCAGGTAGGTGGTGATGTGAAAGACCTCTGTACACACATGTCTATCTGCACCTGAGACTGTGGAGAGCTGCTGCCAGTCTGAGTAGACATTAATGACCTTGGTGGATCAAGGGCCTGATTTCGTATAAGGCAGTGTCATGCTAAGGGGCGGGGGGGGGAGCTCATGTGAACATAAGCTGTCTAAACCCGATATTTGGAGCCGTGTTGCCGTATTGAGTCACCAGCACTGATCTCTGGCGAGATGTATAAATGAGATGCTATCGTAACAAGCTCATCATTGTGCGTGTAGGGTTGCCAGGTCTAAAGGACAAGCTGGCAGGGGACTTACTGGGACACTCTGGGAGAGGGGAGGGAAGTAGCACGCCATGCCTACGTTACCTGGAAGTGATGTAGGCATGTTGGTGACATCAGGGGGGTGATGTTCTGGTATTGGGGCAAAACTCTATGGTTTGAAGTTAATTCTACCATAGAGTTTTGCCCAAAAACCAGAGTATGCCCCCCCCCAGCATCACTTCTGGGTGAGGTAGGCACATTGTGTTTGGGGCAGTAATTCTCCCCTGCTGGTCAGCTGGCTGGTGCTGGAGAGGAGTGCAGAAAACCAGGGGATCCCCCGCACACCTGCGGGACCTAGCAACCCTATGGTGTGATACAGGGAGCAAAGGAATTGCATATCGACAGAAGCTTTCATTCATTCATTTCTATCCTGCTTTTCTCTGTAGCGGGGCCCCAGAACAGCCCCTACCTGGTGGAACGAGCTCCCGGAGGAGATCCGGGCCCTGCGAGACCTTGCGCAATTCCGCAGGGCCTGCAAGACAGAGCTCTTCCGCCAGGCTTTTGAGTAGGGGCCGCCACCGCTACTGTACCACCGCCGCACCACCACCACCAACTGGCTTGGGTAACATCTGGGGGGGTGCAATGGCCCTGGGATGAAGAATGAAGGGCGTTGCTGCCTGGAACGATACGATTGATTTGAGATTACCATCACCAGAATCCCATCTCGCTACTGAGGACTTTGAGACAACTTGAGCACCTTGTACTGTATAATTGATTGATTTATCAGGTTTTAGCTGTTTTAATTATTGGCATGTGTGCCTCATCTGTAAGCCACCCTGAGCCCGCTTGCGGGGAGGGCGGCCTACAAATCTAAATAAAATTAAATTTAAAAAATAATACAAAACTAAATTATAACAAACAGGAAGGGGAAGAAATAAATGGCTTCTAATTGCAGAGGAAGCCTCATTCACACTCTTACACTCTTTGCAAATGGATCTTCCTAGTTTCTACCTGAAGACCAACAGCCCTTTGGCTCCTGTTTCTGGTCATGCTTAGACCATTAGTACCCTGTGGGCACAGAGGCCTTGCTCTGTTGCTTCTTATTGCCAGCAGTACCCAGACTGAAAATTTCGCACACTCATTTGCCTAAAAGAAGGTATGTTCTGTTGAAGCCAAGGGTCCTGACCATAGCTGGCTAGGAAATGCATTTGTCCTCTTTGATGCAAGTCCTGAGCATTCTGAAATACGTAAACATTGAATAATTGTCCTACCAAGCTTGCTTTCTACTCCTCCCTTGCCTTTCTCTTCTTCCTTGTGTACATAGTAAAAGTGAGTTATGAATAAAAAATAGAGATGCATTTATTGTGGATGACAGTCAGCTTGTGTGTATGTTTGCCCACCGTCTCTCTCATTCGGTTTTCACAAACTCTTGCCTACAAAGATTTGTGCTGTATTACACCAGTTAATCCCTGATGACGAGCAGTTCTGTTGTCAAGCTGCTACTTGAGAAATGGTAGGCTGTAGCACTGTAAGTCCTGTTCTGGTATGTTTGCCGTCACCTGCCCCGCATTTTCTGCAGTACATGAAATGTTCAGCAAAGACAGAAAGCGCTTGGGGAGGCATCAGTACAGGATACAAACGCACAAACGCTCTCTGTGTAAAGAGGAGAAACAGAGGGGTGTCTGAGGGAAACAGACTTTGGATACCCTTCTACTTTTGAAGGGCTAAGTAAGAGAAAAATTGGTTTCTCACAAAAAATATGTTTCCCCCCCTTAAATTTATAGTACAGATTATGCTGTAGTTCCCATTCACTGAATGGTGGTTTAAATTAAAATGGTATAATATCATTTCCCAGGAGACGGTCTTAGTATTTTCTTCTTTCTGCACTTTAAAGGGTTTTTTTTAATGATTTATAAACAATCTTTTGTATTCATCTTAAGGCTGACATTCAAAGAAGCAAATCATGGTAATTAATGCAATTGCTATTTGATTTTTTTAAAAAAAATCATATTAAACTGCAATCTTACTAATTAGAAAAGAAAAACTACAAAATACATTTCAGAGACATTAAAAACATAAATACCCAACTATTTAAATGAAAATATGCCTGTTTTACATACAACTGTGTTTCCAAAGTTATTCCAAAAGAAATGGAGCCCACAGCTCTAGTAGATCTTGCCTAGTCCCTCCTTTAGACAAGTTAGCTATTTTGGGACATTTGTTTCTGCTTGTACCTTTCCATGTTTGCAAAATAAATATGAACCTGCAAGACATTGTTTTAAATTTATAGCCCAATCTTATCTGGTTTGTACCATATTAAATCGTTTGGACTGAATGGGACTCACTTCCTAATCAGCCAATCCAAAGCCTTTTATTGGCATATAAATAAAAATACAGTAATCTAAGTACACACAGAGTCAAATTAAAATTGCCGAGTAACATCACAGAGTATCATCATTAAAAAAACCCCTAATTCATCATATCATTTATCAGGCCGTAGGGCCATGGCACTGCAGAGAAACTTTGCTGTTATTTCAGTTATTTCTGTTTCTGTGTTATCAAGCAAGAAAAGAAGCTTAAAATCATCATGGGACTCTAAAAAATGGCCTAATATGGGATATAGAAGATCCCGACGGGACGCCAAATAGAGAGGGCACTGGAAGAGAACATGGGCAACAGTTTCAACACAATCCTTCCTACAAGGACAGCACCTGCTAGGATAGGGAATCCCTTGGAATCTGCCAGATAAAATAGCTGAAGGAAGAACATTAAATCTAGCCAAGGATATGGCTCTACGCAAATTTGGAGCTATGAGTTGATAGAGGTATACTGCTGGAAGATTTGCATTAGGAATAATCCCCAGATGTAAGGGAGAACAGGTTCTGTTAGCCAGGCTATAAAGAGTTTGTAGCTCTGACCCCAATAAACTAGATTTTATTTTTAAAAAGGCCTCAGACACAGAAAGCATATATAAGGATTCTAGGGACAAATTCAGGGAACTTATTTTGGCTTCGATGTAAGATAGCCATCTGGAATTATCAGATTCCGAACGTAGTTGGTACATATAACTGAAGGGGTCAGAGTTAAAATGGAGTCGTAACCAAAATTTAATTGTGTGGATCCATGCTTTAGTAGCCAGCAAGTTCTGACCGCTCTCCAAACACAAAGCAGCACATGGAACACACATAGGTACCCCCATGATCTTTCGCAAAAAGGAAGGTGGAAGTAATGCTGGATAGGAGAGTACATGATCTGCCTGCAAAGGGGCCGTGTTCAATTCCTGGCTTCTCCAATGAAAGGTTTTCCAGTCCGAGGGCTAGGAAAAACATCCCCGCAAGAGATGCTGGAGAAGTTTTGCCAGTCAAAGTACGTGGTATGGGTGGAATGGAACAATATTCTGTCTAGGTGGAAGGCAGTTTCTTATAAATGCATATACGTTCCTAAGACCAAGTAAAATGCTTTACTTCGGGGGGGGGGGAATGGTGTTTTAAGAAGATAAAAAATCCCACATCAGCTCATATACCCTACTTTCCCCTAAGCAATAGTTCTAGAAATGGTTTTATAAGGTCACCTTCCCTGTACATGGACAGTACCGGAGACTTGTGTGTTTTATAGCATCTCTTTACAAATATGCAGGGGGAACCGATGGCCAGGCCCTTTTTTATTGACACAGCACTCTCAGTGTGCCTAAAGCTTTACATAACACAAAATGACTAGCAAAACCAGAATCCATGTAGGTAGCACTAATCCCAGGCAATACCACTCCAGAGTCCTAGCAACGGCTGTTGCCCGCAAGAAATCCTCTGACTAGCTCCAAAACTTGGAACTGTGGGTTCCCCCCCGTTCCTGTCTTACCAAATAGAAGGTTTCAAAACTTGTTTCTTCGGCCCACCACCAGCCCCAAGGTAGGTGTGGTGTGGGAGAAATACTGGTGGCTTGAAGTTGCCACTGCCTTCAGGAGCCCAGCTTTACAAAAAGCTGCAAGGATAAGGAACTGTGCATTTCATCAAACGTGCTCCATTGGTTATTGAAACCTTAATTCATAGTCTTTGGCAGGGCTTTTTTTGTAGAAAAAGCCCAGCAGGAACTAATTAGCATAATTGGCCACACCCAACAACATAAACTCATTAGCATATTAGGCCACACCCCTGACAGCACAGGTCATTAGCATATGAGGCCACACTCCTGTGTTACCAGAAGTGTGGTCATCCAGCCACACCCACCTTTTGCTTTTTATTCTGTTTACCTTGCTTGCTGTCAAAACCCAGGGCCTTTTTTTGTAGCAGGAACTCCTTTGCATGTTAGGCCACACACCCCCAATGTAGCCAATCCTAATGAGTTTCTGCTGTTGGGTGTGGCCTATTATGCTAATGAGTTCCTGCTGGGCGTGGCCAACTCAGGAACCAGCAAACTCTGTTCCTGTGCGTTCTTGCCCCAAAATAGCCCTGGTCTTTGGGTTTTGGCTGGCTTCAATTAAATAAGGGTTTTTTTTTCCTTCTTCTTTCCTAGGCGATGCATGGTGTCAAATATTCAACGTATCTGCGCTGCAAGAGTCTTTCTTTGTTTATTCTGGCCGATACCCCAATGAGACAAAGTTGAATGTTTCCACGCCCACAGGAAGTAAACACAGCCTATTTGTAGGTACAGCCTTAGCCATAAGCTCCAGTCTCTTCATCGGTTCCAGTTTTATACTGAAAAAGAAGGGCCTTTTGCGATTAGCTGAGAAAGGAGCCCTTAGAGCTGGTAAGAAATGTTTTCTGGTTTACAATTTTTAAAGAAATGTCCTCTTCTTAAAATTCAAAAATCAAAAGCCCAGTTTCTGGGGGTATTTTTGATTTTTGGAATGTACCTTTAAAGCTTGAGGGTTGTATTCATGTCAGGATATTACATTAAGAATGCCTTTTGGATTTCACATTCCTCGTTCTTAAACCCAGCATTACCTGGTATTCTTCTGTAGTGACCAATGTTTGAATGGTTGCTGGAAGAAACAGATAATTTAGGATTGCTATTCTCCAGGTGGGGCCGGGAGTCCTGGAATTACAAGTGATGTCCAGACTAGAGTTCTGTTCCCCTAGAGGAAATCGCTGCTTTAGAGGGTGGATTGTGGGAAATTGCTGCTTTAGAGGGTGCGTTACACCTGGCTGAGGTCCCTCCCCCTCCTCATGCCCCACCCTCTTCAGGCTTCACCTCCAGATCTCCAGAAATGTCCAGACTGGGAGTTGGCTACCCTGAGTAACTGTTTATCCCCTATGGAATCCTGTGAGGAATGCATTATGAAGAGTTTAGCTAGACTTTGGTTCATTCTCTTTTTCTAGTCTCGTTGGCATTAAGATGCCAACTGTCAACACTCCAGAGCCAATTTGGTGTAGTGGTTAAGAGTGTGGACTCTAATCTGGGAGAACTGGGTTTGATTTCCCCATGCCTCCACATGCAGCTGCTGGTGTGACCTTGGGTCAGTTATAAGTTCTTTCAGAGCTGTTCTCTCAAGGGCAGTTCTCTCTGAGCGGGGCGGCTGGAAGCAGGGGGCGGGGCTTCGTCATGTGCACCGCCCCCCCCGCACCTCACCCGGGGGAACTGCGTTTCCCCGCGATTCCCCCCGAAATGACCTCTGTGTGCTAGACTCTTGGAAACAGCATTTGGGGGGGGGGCATAATGGGCTTCAGTAGGTGATGAAAAAGTTTCATTCTGCAGTTGGAAATACTTCAAACTGGAAAATATCAGCTGTTCCTTTAACATATTCAAAAACATACAGAATATAGCATTTACGTTGAAATGTGAGAGTCTAAGCAGGGAATAAAATGGGGGGGGGCACAGAAAATTGGTCAAAATTGGAAAAAAGTACTGAGTTGAAAGTCCAAAGATTCTCTTCTGTTAAGGAATACTCTCACTTGGGAGTATTTGGATCTAATCCATCATTGTTCATATCTATTATTTTATCTTTTATTGTATACATTTTATATATTATTATATTGGATATGCTTTTTTATAATAACCATAACAAGGCCAGCAAGATTCACAACGTGTGTGGGCCAAAAACAAACTCTAGACAGAAGAAAATGGTGTTAAAAGAGCATCATGGAAACCGTGTCCACATTTTAAGATGGTCATCAAGGAAGCCCTTTACTAGCTAATTTGGTTCATATTTAAGCTTTGTATGAAAAAAATTCTGAATGTACAGAGGCATGCTGGGATAAAGAATGAATGGAGGGTCGTCTTTCTTAATATAAACCTCAGCAAGAAGAGTACCTCGGGGCTTTATCAGAAGTCTTTCTACATTATTTTCATGAAAAATAATTCTTTTCCAGGACAGGGTGGATATTTGTACCTGAAGGAATGGTTATGGTGGGCAGGGCTGCTGTCAAGTAAGTACATGTGTTAGTTTTAACTCTAGGAGGGCAGCTTCGGATTTGCTTTGCAAATCTGTCTCAGTTGGGTTTTCCAAAGGAGTGTGTACACATATGTTCCATGGCTGGGAGGGTGGGGTATAAATAAAATAAAATAATAGCTAACTAAAGATCGAAAGATGGCTCTGTTCCCCCAGGAAACACTGCTCCTTTACACAATTCAAACTTGTAAAGCTGTCTTATACTGAGTCAGTCCATTTGTCTGCTGAGGTCAGTATTGCCTGCTTTGACTAGCAGCAGCTCTCCAGGGCCTTTCACGTCACCTGCTACCTCCTCCTTTTAACGAGAGACATCCAGGATCGAACCTGAGACCTTCTGCATTGCCAGGCAGTTGCGTTACCACTTGAGTCACAGCCCCTCTTCTCAGTAGTAGCTGAGTCGCCGTGAAACATTAGCACTTAAAATACAGCAGTCATCCTACTTCAGAATTCTTCTATTGGGTTTAAGTTGGCAAATGAACTTCTTGGGAGTCGGAGGTAAAGCGGATGCAAAAGTAAACATTATCCAGAAGTCTTGTTAGACTTATCCCTCCGTCTCAAGGGTTTTTCAGCATTTCTTATGTTTTATTCCTGATGTTCAAGCCTTAATTGATTGATGGAAAGCTGCTCTGCGATTAACTTCTCATGCAGTGATATAGTGGGGAGAAGTATTTATAAATGGAGTCCTTTCGTGGGTGCTCACTAACTTTGTAGCACTTATTCTAGTAATAGGTCAGTTACCCATAATTTCCCGTTTCCCCGAAAATAAGACCTACCCCAAAAATAAGCCCTAGCAGGATTTCTATGCATTTGTGGTATAAACCCTAGCGTGTCTTCTTGAGAAAAAAGAAATAAGACAGTGTCTTATTTTCGGGGAAACACGGTAGGAGGAAGTATTGGTGCAATTGGTTTAGGCAAGAAGAAATCTACTAGCACTTCCTTTTTTCTGGTGCAGCAGCATGCTTGTAACTCTTGGCCAATCCGAATTTTTTTAAAAAATGAACACATGTTTCTTTTGCAGTGGGAGTAGGAGAAGCAGCAAACTTTGCTGCATATACCTTTGCACCTGCAACTTTGGTAACCCCGTTGGGTGCACTGAGTGTTCTTGTAAGGTTGGTACAGTTCACTTTTCTTATCAGTAAAAAGTTCACTTTCCTTATCAGCGTATCTAGTACATTATATTAAATACGTTGTGGTTCAGTCCAGGTGATGGATCAGGACTGAGCATGGAGCTGTCTGAATTGTACAAAACTGAAGTTTTTTATTGACCAGTGCCTGCAGATCTTAATTAGCCTTTTGCTAGGAGTGCTTCCTTACACAGTTTAATGGGAGGAGGGGGTGTGCGATGGTTTTTCAATCCCAGAATGCACATTTCTCTTTGCAAGTAATCTGCCCCGCCCCCTTTCTTAAGTCTTCCTGCATTTTGTTCCACCCTTCCCTCTTCGAGGGCGTTTTATTACCTGCTCTCAAAGTAGGTCAAGAATCCCATCAATTTCAGTAAAGTTTCCGAGAACTCCATGCTTTCCCTATTAATGCTTTGTAAGGGGAGCGTTGCCCTGACCAATGCTCCCTCTAAGCTGTGGAGTCTTGTGAGCAAAAATCCTACCTTGTGAGTTGCTGGCACAAAAGATGTGGGTGAGCGATTTGGCTGCTGCGTAAATGAGTTTGCTCTGGAGCTCTCCTTCCTGAGCTGAGACAAAAATGTGTGAGCCGGAGGCTAAAAAACTGTGAGCTAGCTCACACTGACTCAGCTTAGAGGGAACACTGGCCCTGACCTGGATAGCTCAGACTAGCCTCATCTCATCAGATCTCAGAAGCTAAGCAGGGTCAGCCCTGGTGAGTATTTGGGTGGGAGACCTCCAAGGAATGCTCAGGGTTGCTATGCAGAGGAAGGCAGTGGCAAACCAACCCTGAATGTCCCTTGCCTTGAAAAACCCCACCAGGGTCTCCATAAGTCAACTGTGACTTGATGGTAAAGAAAAGGGAGTACTGCAGCATCAGGTGCCATATAAAAATGATATAATCAACTGGGTGTAGTCTGTTTAAATAATATTTGAAATAGCCTACCTAGGAGACAATGGGAAAGTCAACAAATTAGGGATGATTCACACAGTCATCTGGCTCCATCCAGCATATGCATAGCAGCAGAGACTGTGGATTGGATCCAACCTCAACGATCAATTTCTGCCTGTTCACCATTGCTGTTGCAGGACCCCCCCCCCCAATTGTGGCATTCCTTAGGGTCTCCTTTGGTGGTGATCTGTTGGAGGAGGGAGGAAGGAAAGTTGGATTCTGCCACTAGAAAACTTAGTCTGGATCCAGCCCTGTGTGCAAATCCTGTCCTGCCCTTCTACCATTGCTTACTGCTTATGATATATGCATTAGGTGTGTAAAACTAATAGGCCCAATTTATGTAATCTTTCCTCCCCATTTTTAAGCACAAAGGCTTTTATCTATATGATACGTGTATCTGATCTCTGTCCAGTGTGTACATGGATCAACTAGTGGCATCTGTGTGAACAGTAGGGAACATATCCACAGATACCCATCCATCCTTTCAATCGTTCAAGTTTCTTTTTCTTGTGGACATGGACTGCAGACCAAGGCTTGGATCCAGAGTTGCATTTCTGCAGGTGCAATGATTTCCTCTGCAGAGCGTGATTTTTCCATCCTCCTGCAGCAGCCCCAAATGCCCCCTGAAATACTTTTTCCTGGGGGTCCCATTACCCCCAGGAACAGTATGGGGGGGGGCTGTCAGGCTGCTGTAGGAGAGGGAGATGGGGAAGCTCTGCTCCATAGGTGGAAATACTTGCCCTAGGAGGTTCTTAATCATTCTAACAATTCTGAATTTAAAGGTTTTTTTTTTAATTATTACATTTAGTGTTCTGTTTTTGTTTAATATTTCCTTCCTTTCTTAAAATATCCAAACAGTGCCATGTTATCCTCCTTTTTTTTGAATGAAAAGCTCAATATTCATGGGAAACTGGGCTGCGTATTGTGCATCTTGGGGGCCACTGTAATATTAATTCACGTTCCTAATGAGGAAGAAGTCATGTCGTTGGATGAAATGGAACCAAAGCTGAAAGACCCAGGTAGGTCAGGTTTGCAATCTCTTTGGCATGAGTGAATACTGTAGAAAAGGTTTACTGAATGTTCTGATGATCGATTGATTCCTGGAGCCAGTGGATGGCCATGTGCTTACTGGACAGTACGTGCACAGCCCTATTGCAGACATAGTTAGTAGGTGAATGGGGAATCCCATCTTCTCACCATGCACAGTGGTAGTCTTGTGTGACCCTATCCATAAACTTTTAGGTCAAGCACCTCTATGGGCCCATACCATGTCCCCCCCCCCATTACATCACTCTAACGTCGGGTTGCCAGCCCCTGGGTCTAAGCAGGGAATCCCCACTTTGGGGGGCTTCTCCCAGCTGCTGGCCACCTGGCCAGCGGGGAAAACCCTGCCCCCAAACAGTGATGTCCCCACACAACATCACCGATGCGATGATGTCACATGGAAGTGACATCACGCCAGGACGCTCTGGTTTGAGACAAAACTCTATGGTTTGAGGGCAATTTTACCATAGAGTTTTGCCCTGAAACCAGAGCATCCCCTGCGATGTCCCCTGACATGATGATGTCACTTCCACGTGATGTCAGGTCGGTGACAACACGTGGAGATGTTGCTGTTGGGGCGGAGCCCCTCCCCCCTCTCAGAAGGCTCCCTCCTTCCACATGCCGGCGAGAGGTAAGCACCGGGCAACCCTACTTTAACATCAAACAGTGGTATGGTATGAGAGGGGTCCTGTCCTGACATCTGAACTTGGCTTATTGGGCAGGAATCCTTCCTAGCCCCTCTACCTGAGAGTCTTTTAAACAGATTTACCAAGATTTGAACCTGGAACTTTCTGTATGCAAATGATGTGCACTGCTGCCGAGATACGGCCTTTTTCCAACTTTGCAGTTACCATTCGTGGGGCTTATGGTGCCATCCTAAGATTTATGCCCTTCTAAGCCCATTGATGTCAATGGACTTCCAAAGCTGTTACTTTGCTTAGGATTGTACTGTCAATTATGAAAAAGGTGATTGTAAATTTGAATGAGTGTAAATTAAAAATGAAGCAGATTTTAAAAATTATCTCAGGGTTTTTGCATCCATTGGCCAGAACACTGGCAAATGGGAGCGGGTTTACGACTTAGGATTTGGGTAGAAAACAGCATGCATTTTGTTTGCTTGTTTCCATATGTGCAAGAACTTGAGGTTTGTATATACGGTGAAACCGCTAAAAAAATCACAGAAGAGATCTGGAATCTCTCTAGAAAGTGGGCTTCTTTACAAGGAAGTGTCCGAAAGGGGCAGACGTAATGTGTGTAAAACATTTTGATCAGAGTGGAAATATCGGTGCCAGTCTTCTAAGACAGGTGTCTCTCAATGGGGACCTTTTGAGAAATTGATGGTTTCTTTCCTGTTTTATGTTAAATGACTTCATTCTTTTGCAAATTTAGCTGGCAGGATTGTTTTACCAAGTGAAGATGAGTGGGGGGGGGGAGAGGAAAGCTTTATTCCTGTTCTTCCCTGCAACTCCCCCCCCCCTTGTACTTCCACTGGGAAAACTCAGAGAGGATTTTTCCAGTGATAAATGGCAGGGTAGGAAAAGGTTAAATCACCTCGAAATTCTACCCCCCCACCGCTAAATTTGCATAAAGCAGAATTAACACAGAATAAACTGTAACCTATGGGCCCTGAGGAAGTCTTTTCAAAGCTGCGTATCAGATTTTGGAAGCCACCAGCAGTGTTCCCTCTAAGCTGAGTTAGTGTGAGCTAGCTCACAGTTTTTTAGCCTCCAGCTCACACATTTTTGTCTTAGCAAAGGAAGGATGGCTCCAGAGCACAGTAATTTATGCAGCTTTAATGCTAGGAGCTCACAAAGTAGAGTTTTTGCTCACAGGACTCCACAGCTTAGAGGGAGCATTGTCCACCAGACCAGAGGTAAAATACCACTGCATGCTTATTTTGGGGGAAACTGTGCTGGCTGGGGAGGGGAGAGCTACAGATGAGGCTCCTGGTTTACAGCTTCTTAAAAATGCTAATCTGAGGCTGGTTCCACACTACCACCTTTTTGTGTTGCTTACTCTATTTCCCCATCCCGCTGCAAGTGGAATTGGAATGGGGGGGGGGGTTCCCCACAGAACATTTAATAAACCACGAGTGAGCAGAAAGTCCCTCCCCAACCAATTAATAGTAGCTCTTCGCCTCTCTTCTGGTGCTGCTGTAATCATGCTCTTATGCTTCCTTTTAAAGCTATTGCAATGCTGTTGCTTCACTCTCTCTTTTGTACAGAGGAGGAGGAGGTGGCAGCAAATGCCATCATGCATCTTTGCTCTGGATGGGAAGTTGACAGCATCGGGACCCTTTCCCATCCTCCCTCTCCACCTTCACACTCAAACATCCTTGCTTTGGCCAGGAAAGGAGTCTTTATTTATTTAATCCGTTTGTACCTCACCTTTCTCTCCAGTGGGGACCCAAAAATCAGCTTACATCCTCTCCTCCATTTGATCCTCACAACAATCCCATGAGGTAGGCTGGGCTGAGGGAGTGTGACTGGCCCAAGGTCACCCAGCGAGCTTCCAGGGCACAAGTGGGGATTTGAGCCTGGGTCTCCCAGGTACTCTCCTGCCAACCTAGCAGTTCGAAAGCAAGAAATTGCAAGTAGATAAATAGGTACCACTTCAGTGGGGAGGTAACAGCGTTCCGTGCGCCTTGGTGGTTAGTCATGCCGGCCACATGGCCACGGAAACGTCTTCGGACAGCACTGGCTCTTCGGCTTTGAAACGGAGATGACCCTAGAGTCGGATTCGACTGGCTTTCGAGCAAGGGAACCTTTACCTTTACCTTTTACTCCCAGGTACTAGTCCGGCACTCTTAACTTCTACGGCACACTGGCTCACAAGTATGCTGTAACTCTTTGCCCTGGCCACAAAGCTATTTGCCTCTTCCAGGGGCAATACAGAGGTAACTGTATATTTTCCCTCTGCAGGGCAAGCCAGTTTTCAGGTGGCAGTGGTGGCTTGCTTTGGGAAAACAGCGGAGGAAACCTTTTCCCCATTCAAGCACCACAGACCATCTCTAAAACCCTGTGCTTTTTGTGACTGCCTCTACCCACCGATCCACTGTGACTGGCAGCCCCCTGTGCTCTGGGGGAAAATTTAAGTAGTAGCTCTCAATAGAATAAACTCTGCTCTGTGTAAAAAAAAAAAACCTGCTGTATGTCCCATAAATATCCATGCTTTTTGGCTTGTAAGTCATGGCTCATTTTAAAACAAACAAACAAATGTATGGTGCGTTGCCATTACAGTATTATGAAGTTAACGGTAATAAAAAGGAAGGGGGGGAGAGAGAGGGCGATTTCTCACTAGAGCTGTCTCACAGCGCAGCCACCGCTTGCCTCGACACAAACATGTAAATTTCACACCCGAGGCTGCAGGGCTGCATTTGACCCGCGGCTTCGCCCGATTTCTCTAGTGAGAAATCGCCCAGTGTCAGTGACTTGGCTTGCTGTAGAGTACAAAAAGAGAAGTTTCACTACCACACCCAGTTGGTAATCAAGCATTTATTCAAGGGTACTGAGGGAGAACCTGGCAAACTCTGGAAAAGGGGAAGTTATTGATCAAGTAGGAAGGGTTTATTGTTTGTAGTTCTTAAGGGGGCCGCAGCTCTGGGGAGCCTCGGCAGCACTTTGTTATACGAACGGCACGGGTTTGGTGCTGACGTATTAAAATAAGAGAAAGGTCACCACAAAAGGAAGTCTTAGATGGAAGGGCAACACAAGAAACACTGGCACGTGGCAGGTTAAGAGTCTTGTTGCATCTGTGTATGGGTAATGCACTGAAAGACATTGCCTTCAGGGCTCTTTTTGTAGCAGGAACTCCTTTGCATATTAAGCGACACGCCCCTAATGTAGCCAATCCTCCAAGAGCTTACAGTAGCCCCTGTAAGAAGAGCTCTTATTTATTTATTATTTATTTATTTAATTCCACTTATACCCCGCCCTCCCCGCGTACGGGCTCAGGGCGGCTTACAACCACAAGGCACAACGTGCGATAAAAAACAATAAAACAATTTAAAACTCTTGGAGGATTGGCTACATTAGGGGTGTGTGGCCTAATATGCAAAGGAGTTCCTGCTACAAAAAGAGCCCTGCCTGTGGTGTAAAGGAGGGATCCCCCATGCAGGAGCCCATGGGGGTGACGGTTGCTCCCAACAACACACACACACACACATGCAAACACGCACATACTGAGTGTGAGGGACGAAAGAACAGGAATACAGTGAGGAAAGAGAAAATATAACTAACAATGGCTGCGGTGACACGGGGCATTAGGCACGCTAGAGGGACGGAAGATAGGCGGATTTCCCGGGCGCGATCTCACCGCCACATCTGGGACGCGTAGAGCTCCCGTGGCGAACCCAAGGCTTCCCGCGGAAGATGCGCGGTAAAAAACTAGTACCTTGGAGGTACTAGTTTCCTGAAACCGCGGGGCAAGGGCGGGCGTCTGATCGCGTTTCCGGTGGTAGTTCCGGCGCCCGCCTATGTCCCCTCGGACAAAGGTGTTTTTTCCCCCCAAAGTCTCCATGGATGCGCACAAGCACCCAAGGGAGCATGCGCACATTTGGGTTAAAAAACAACAACAACCCCGTTTGCCCCGCGCCCCGCTTCTTTGCTGCGCCGCAGGACTGTGGAGTGATCGGCACCTCCCCCCCATCACGGGACCTCCATCGGTAGGTCTGCTCCAGCAACCGCACGGTTTTTAGCCCTGGGGCTAACAGCCACGTCCCCCCCCCCCGCATTTTCCTGCCCGTGTGACTGGGACCAATGTAGTTCTTTTAATCTGTACAGCCAATCAGCTCCCCAGTGGCCAACTGGGCAGGAGCCCCATTTGGTCCCACTAATTTTTAAAGGTACGTGTTGGGCATCAGGAAAAGTGTTGGTGGGGGGCCATGGCACCTATGGGCCCCACATTGGGGAACCCTGGTGTAGAACCTAATATGCACCCAACTCCCACTGCAAACTATGGCAGATGGAGCTTTATTTGGTACCCACCCGCCTTCTTTTCCTCATCTGTAGCTGGTAGTACGGAAGCTTTATTTGTGAGCACGGGGCTGCTGAGAGCCAGTTTGGTGTAGTAGTTAGCAGTGCAGATTCCCCACTTCTCCATATGCAGCTGCTTGGTGACCTTGGGCAAGCCGTTGTTCTCTCAAAAGCAGTCCTCAAAAGAGCTCTCTCAGCCCCACCTTCCTCAGAGTCGATGTGGGGAGAGGAAGGGAAGGAGACCGTAAACCGCTCTGAGACTCCGAGTGAAGGGTGGGGTATAAATCCAACTCTCCTCCTCTTCTGCAAAAATCATAGATGGAGTAAAGGGAATTTAATCAGTTATGCATTTCTATGGTGTGTAGGACAAAATGCAATTGACATTGCTGATAAATGCTTAGTCCACATTATGTAACATCCTTCCCCCGTTCTCTCTTTCTCTCCCCAAACAGTGTTTATTACATTTGCCATTACTATAATTGCGATCTCACTAGTGCTCATTTGTTTCGTTGCTCCCAAATCTGGTGAAACGAATATTCTGGTCTACATCGCGATTTGTTCGCTGATTGGCGCGTTCTCCGTCTCCTCTGTCAAGGGCCTTGGCATTGCCATTAAAGACCTATGGCATCACAAACCCGTCTTGCGGTCTCCACTGCTATATGTTTTTGGAGCGGTTTTGGTGTTGTCCGTCAGTACGCAGATTAACTACCTCAACAAATCATTGGATGTGTTTAATACATCTCTGGTGACGCCGATTTATTATGTGTTCTTCACAACCACTGTGGTGATCTGCTCTGTCATCCTTTTCAAGGAATGGAATAGCATGACGCTTGGTGATATCGTTGGGACCTTGAGTGGATTCATCACTATCATTATAGGCATTTTTTTCCTTCATGCTTTTAAAAACATAAGCGTCTCGTGGAACCAGCTGACGTCTACTGCTAAAAAAGAATCAGTGCTGCCTACCTGCGGCTATGATGTTCATCAGACTTTATTGGAGAACATGGAGACTGGCGATGAGGACAATACATTGTTCAGCCAAGGAAATGAGCAAGGGGATGGCCGTTGTTAATAAGCCCCAAGCTCTTGGACAGCCAACTGGAGCGAATAAAGTCTAGGAAATTTTAACACCTTCCTCTCCTCTCCCTACAAATGGCAGCACCTGTGCATTTGGAGCCACAGAGAGCAGTCACTATGGTTCTTGGTGAGGTAACAGAAAAGGCAGTGTGGTGATGAGCTCCCTTATTCTCTTCCTGAAACTTTGGCAGCATATGGACTTTGCTGATATAGTATAGCGCTGTTGAAGAGTTTCTCGAACTAAATGCTTTAAATTGCATATAAAGCATATTGTCATATGTAGCACTTTATAGTTTTACTATTTGAAATGAGTTCTTTTATAGTTGTCTTGGAGGGTGGGTGGGGGGGATCATGACATTCCCCAAATCTTTGTTACTGAATGCTGTGAAGATTTTCAGCTACTAGGTGTTTTGAAGGAGAAAAAGAACCCTGTTTTTAAATTCTAGCAAAGCCTTGTACATTTTCCTGAAAAGAGGATCTTTCATATATCAGGTAGCACTGAATTTTGCATGTGTATTCTAATACTTATTACATGCATATTTTTCACTGGATTTTGTAAAGCCCATCTTAAATTTGTTTCTTTTCTCACAGACTCCTGTCTGATAACAAATTCCTGGGGCACAGACCTGATAACTAAGGCCTTCTCAAAGTGTCTTCCCGAGAGCTTTAGGCATATAATTCAAAATATTCATTTTATGATAATGTATCTTACTTTGCTTAACTGGACTGTTTCCGTTTGACTGAGGTTTTCCAAGAGTGGCCATAATGTTCTGCAGTTCAGTTTCTAAAACAATTTCCTCTTGTCCATCCCAAATAGAAGGAAAATGGAAGTCAGATATATATTTTTATTAGATAATATAAACAACTTATTTGATGAGTATTGGGGCAGAATTTCATATAGTGTAGTATTTATGGAATATTAGAGAATAACCCTGGATACATGCCTGCATGAATGAGCCTACAGCTAGGGTCACCAAGTGTTCTGATATATCTTTTGAAATACTTGAATTAAACTGGAGGATGGGCTTTCATGTGTATTTGGTTGTAAGAATGGGAATTTCAGATTTGAATCTTGCTGTAATTATTCCTGTTGCTTGTTTGAATCCTGCTGTGATTATACCCTACAGAGGTTGGCTAAACTAGCATTTAAGATCTGTTCTAAGTCAGTTTGTTATTGTTAGTTGGTAAAGTTCTAGGAGTGATGGAACAGGTTATGAAACAACTTCCTGAAGTTCTCCCACCCCTAGCAATATGCATGATTTACATGGAATTTTATTGGAATGCTTTACAGTGTGGATAGCTTCCATTATTGTTTTGGTCACCTTCTTTACCATTGTGTGAATCAAAAAGTAATTGTAGGTGTCAAACATCTGTTCTTAAAAATTTAGCCTTAACGTGGTGTTGTACCATTAAGCACATTCAGGTTTCCCTGTAGTTAATTCTGGGCCTACAGTCTTAGTTGATCAGTTTCAAGATTGTTCATAGAAGGTAACTTGATGCTGAAGGGGTGGAAATCACATTAGGCAGATTGGAAGAGTATAAAAGTTATGCTTGCATTACAGGAATGAAACCAGTATAAACTTTGAAATATAATTGCCTCAGAGGGCAAAGTCTGGCCATGTCAGCGTTACAGCCCCACTGAGACGAACCTTTTGGTTCTGAACAATCCAGAGGCACACTGAAAAGATAGTGTTAACCTTATTACCTGTATCTTCTTGTTAACCACCAATGTCCCCAATCCAGCACACTAACCTCTTCCTTTTTGTATGATGTAAATAGACTTGCCAGCCAGATTCAGTTCCATTCTGTTTTTTTAATGCCAGATCTAGTGGGAAATCCTGCCATTTCAGTCATATGGGTGGAATGACTAATTATTCTAAAGGGACCTAAACAACAGATGCTGCCCAGTGGCATTGTTGGCAGAATACCAGTGCCTTTAGGTTTGTTCCTCCTGGGCCCTTCCTCTCCTCATACAATTCAAAGGAGGGGTTGCTTCGAATGCCTGTTACATAGAAGATGATCTAGTTTATCTTCACTGACATAAGTTACAAACAATTGTCCACAGGCCTCCAAACCAGACCCCTAATCAAGAATTGGAGAATCTCATTTTGTTATTCCAAATTGCTCTGACGTGTAGTGGTCTGATTTAGGGGAATTGGGTTGGGGGGGGGGAGTGGGGAGTTCCCCATGTAGCTCTTATAAGCAATTTGTTCATGGTGACTTTTTCCTTCCCTTTAACAATGTTTTAAGGGAAGAAAGCCCAAAAGACAGGCTTCCTGGAATGTGGCTTATTTGTTTCAAATACTAGTCTTAAATTCACGTTAAGGTCTTTTGTTATGAGAAGTAGCCACCTTGAAATCTACTTCTTTGGAGTTCAGTATATTAATTCTTCAAGGCAGATTTTTGACACTTCCACTCCAAATTTTAAATGTAAGGCCTCAATAACACAGGAAATCAATATTAATAGAGGACCATTTTGCAGTGCAATCCAATGCAGAGTTACTCCAGCCTACACCCATGGACTGGAGTAATTCCGCACAGGAACATAGTTCTTGTCAGTCAGGAGAATCTTTATCATCATTCAGGAAGCACATATTATTAAATGTTTCTGTTAAACTATTAAATTTGAATAAAATGATTTTTAAAAAATGTTTCTCTGATGGAAGATTTTTTAAAGTTTTGTTATAATGTTGTTGGGCAAGGAATAAAGTATAGTTTTGTGTATGTGCGTTTTCCTTCTTTACTAAGTAGCATGAGGAACGGCTTCTGAGAGTGGGGCCAGTTCACAGAGCGGGGGTCTCTTACCATGAGTAGATACCGGTACTTAATACATTCACATTTTTAAACATATTCAAAATAAAGTGAGCTATATATGAGGGGGGTATTAATAATTCCCAACTCCAAAGTGGATGATCTCAATATCTTGCATAGATATTGAATGACATTTGCGAGAAATCAGAATAGAATCATAGTTGGAAGGCACATCCAGGGTCATCTAGTCCAACCCATGCACAATGCAGGAAATTCACAACTACCTCCCCACCCACACCCCCAGTGACCCCTGCTCCATGCCCAGAAGATTACAAAAAAAAATCTCCATGATCCTTGGCCAAAGTGGCCTTGAGAAAATTGCTTCCTGACTCCAAAGTGGTGATCAGCATTTCCCTGGGCATGTAAGAAAGGGCCACAAGAACTAAGCAGTAATGCAACCCTTCCTGCCCTCCCTCTCATGATCTGCCTAATTCACAGAATCTGCAGGACCTCAGTGGGGGTACAATGCCAGACCTCACCCTCCAAAGCCTTCCTGTAGTCTGGAGATGAGCTGTATTCTGGGGGATCCCCAGTTCCCACGCTGAGGCTGGCGTCCTTTGACTCCATACAAATTTGAACAACTGACCTAGAGGATGCGGTGGTAGCAGAGGAGAAAGATGTTTGCCCATATCCCTAACCTCTTCAGTTCCCTCAATCCATTATTTAACTAAAGAGCTGGTGTTTGAGAAGAGGACCACTAGCAGTGACCCTATCCAGGATTTCAAGGTCTTCACCAACCACATTCTAGAAACCACTAAGATGCATAAGTATCTGAGGGGGGAAACCGATGGAGGTAGACCCTTGCTGTGGGAGGTCAATGGGGCCAACATTGCCTTTTGTGATCTGACTAGGACATGGGTTCTGTTACCAACTCCTGCACCAGATCTGTAGAATCCTACATGGTACAAAAAAAAGGAGCATCTAGTGTATGCCAAGGGTTGCCACCTCCAGGTTGTCAGTTCCTGGGAATCTCGGGGCAGCGTCTGGGAACAGTGGGGAGGGGGGAGGAGCCCAGCAGGAACGTGGTGCCATAGTCTCTTCTCTCCATAGCTGCCATTTTCTGCAGAAGAGCTGATCTCTGTACTCTGGGGATCAGTCATAACTCCGGGAGAACTCTAGGCTCCACACGGAGGTTGGCAATTCTATGTATGCTCTTCCCTGCGTGCTGGTCACAACACACCAGGGCAGCCATGTAGGTATGACCTGGGTCTGAGAAGGTGGTCTTTGTTCTAGACCCCCTGAGCCTGGGGATCTCCCAACACCAACTCCAAGATAATCTCAGCCAGGATGGCTTCTAGCAAGGTACTCATATAGTGCTGATACTCTCTAAACCTTCCCGCTATCCACCAATAACACACTAAGGCAGATCCAGACATCCATCCCACCAAATCAAGCAGCAGCAATACAGTCCGATCCCCAAAACTATTCTGACAAGAGAGACAAAATTGTAATGCCAAAGTGCCAGAACTCCACCCTGGAGGTCTGCTATGAAAATATTTACTTACCCATTTTAATACGAGACATTTTCCCCATTGGGAAAGTACAGTTTTCGCTCCCTTTCTGCTGATAATTCTGGTTGTATATTTTGGATCATCTTCTACTCATTTTATTATACAGTGCTTACAGCTTTTGACCCAAGAGCCAAGGCTCTGCTTTTGGATGCTGCGACAGACCTTGGGATCTAGGGGTACAGTAAAGCCAGTCGAAAGCCAGTCGAATCTGACTCTAGGGGCCGATGCTTATCTCTGTTTCCAAGCCGAAGAGTCAGCGCTGTCCAAAGACTTCTCTGTGGTCATGTGGCTGGCGTGACTAAACGCCGAGGCACACAGAACGCTGTTACCTCCCCAATGAAGCTGTATCTATTTATCTACTTGCAATTTCTTGCTTTCGAACTGCTCAGTTGGCAGGAGTTGGGGCCAGAGATGGGAGCTCACTCCGTCACGCGGCACTTGGGTCTTGAACTGCCAAGCTGCAGACCAGAAGGTCTGCACTGCAGCTTCAGCGTGTGTTAACCTCGGAGCCACCGCGGCCCCATAGGGGTACAGTACGGAGCAGCAAAAGGTCTTGGGAGGAATTCTAGCAGGTGTTGCTGAGGTTTAATTCTCTCTGGAGTAGAGAATCTGAACATAAAAATGAATGGTGCAGCATGATTAGCAGGATGTCAAGTGAAACACACTCTTGATTGTATAATATTTCATTAGTTGGGCTACAAAGCTCATGTGTGCCAAATTCAAACAAGAAAATTACATTCCAGTGTATAGCAAAATTCAGAGTACATGTGTTTTTCTTTTACATTTGTTTTTACAGTGCTGCATGTCAAAAATACAGTTGCGACTTCATATAAATACATGCGTTCAGTGCGTCTATTTACAATGTGCGGGCTATATAAATTACTTTGAGACTGCTGTGTCAAAGTCCATCCTCCAGTCGCTTCCTTATTGGTCTGTTCACAGTGCTGTCCTAATGGCTCAAGATAAATTACAGCAGTGTCTGATCCGGCCAATCACTACGTACACATTTTTTCCTATGCTCTACATATCAAGATGCACTATGTTCCATGACGCCCATAGCGGCCATGTTGATACGACTGGCTTTAGATCTGCCAGCTACTTAAAATTCTCTAGGAGACTCTGTGATAAAATATAAAAGCACGTTCTTTGATGCAAGACAGAGTCGCTGATCAGTGCTCACTATCAAACAGGTACGTTTAAAAGAATGTCTGGGGTTATGAACTAGCAGCAATATTTATAGCTTCTACCAGCCACTGAGAGATGCTGGCTTTTCAAGACGATCCCCTGAAAGCAATGACGTAGCCACAGCTGGCTCTCACGCAAGAGTCATTCTTCATCTTATCTACTGACTTCATGGATACCCTACCTTTCACTCCAATGAGGACCCAAAACAGCTTACATCACTCTCTTGTCCTCGATTTTATCCTCAAGACAACCCTGAGTGTAACTGGTCCGGGTTTATCCAGCATACTTCTATGGCAGAGTGGGGATTCAAACCTGGTACTTCCAGATCCTAGTCGGACACTGTCGAACTGCTACACCACACCAGTTCGTCGTGCTTGAATAGTAATAACTATTATCTGAAATTAGAAATGAGAAAAAGACTTCTGCACCCTTCATGTGTAGATGAGTAGTCAAGTGGGGATTTTCCGGCCTACATTTTTCTCCTTGGCAACTCTCATGGATGTCCAGTTCAGACAGAGTACTGCATAAGTAACTAAGGAAATGATGGATATCTCGGTAAAACTCTTCTCCTTGCAAAAATATTACATGCTTATTGCTTTGTCCCTTTGTGGTCCATTCAGCAGCATCTAGGATCTGTCCTTTAACAAGAAAGGGCACACAGCAGCATCTCTGGCAGGCTCTGCTGTGACCTTCTGTGCTTCTGTCGTTCCTTCTCAAGAAGCATCCTCTGATATAGCATAAATCTTTTGAAGGAGATCTTGAAATGTAGGACGTCTATCAGGGTTCTAGAAATTTTAAAAAAGGCTTTGTTAGAACTGGCTGATTCTTAAAGTCCCATTACAAATAATGCGGTGAAGCAACAATAGCAGGCAAACAGACACAGATGCGTTAGACATAGGATATTTCAGGAGTGCTGTGCTACTTGTTCAATCAGGAATCAAACTAAGTTAAAAATTTATTTTTGTATAAAAACAGAGAACTTTTAAAAGTCATCTATGAAAAGTCTACAAGAGAACACAATGTGAATAGTAAACCTTTGACAACATACTGAATAGTAAATAGTTTCTCATATTCACAAGGACTGCTCTTTCCAAGTCATGTGGTCCATTCCTCACTTATTGTAAGAACTCTTGCAATATTAGGATAAATCCATTGACACTAATAGAAGACAACGTTTTTTTTGCTAGTGGGTAATTTTCATATAGCTGAGACGAGATACTCCATGATTTATAGATTTGTATCCTGACTCTTAATTATAAAGTCGCCCAAGGTGGCTTACAGTTTTAGAAACAGTAGGTTGCTTTCCTTGAGAACAATTCTGTTGGCCTGAATGGCCCCCTTATACAACAGATAGACTATAATAGCCAAAATCAAAATTGTTCATAAATAAAAGATGATCAAGCTGGACTCACAAATGTGTGACAGATATTATTACAGAATATAAAAATGGCACATCCTTAAAAGCCCCCTCCTGGCTATTAGGCTTGCCAAGTCCCCCCGGGGGCAGGGAAACCCCCGCCCCAGAGGCCCACTCCTCGCCGCCAGCGGATCGGGCCCTGGGGGGAATCCCACCCCAACGTGCACGTCACCTGGAAGTGACGCAACCACGCTGGGCACGCTGGGGGCAGGGCCACAGTCATCCGAGGGGAAACTCTATGGTTTCCCCTCGGATGGTCGTGGCCCCGTCCCCAGCGTCGTCATGTCACTTCCGGGTGACGTGCGTGCAATGCGCGTGTGCATGCACTCCAGCTGCCAGCCAGGAGTCCCCCGCTGCGGCTCAAAAAGCACTCGGCAACCCTACTGATTATTCATTTCTAAAGCAATCTATTCTGTATTATTAAAAAATATATAATTGTGATTCCCCCCGCCTCCCCCCCCCCATTTTGTATTTCTACCAAGTTAGACCTCCTTGTTGTTACAATTCAGGAGCCATCAAAATTTCATTCTGGACTTCATTTCCCAATCTTGCACTGTATGATTTGTTCCTTAGTCCACAAAACATGCCTATCATCTCCCTCACCTCTTGCTTCATGCTTGTTTTCTCCCATTTCTTTTGTGTTTCAAATGCTCTCTGATATCCTAACAGCACAACCTAGGCAGAGACACAGCCTTCTAAGTCCATTGAAGCACTGTAAACTGTGCCTTCTTTGTGCCTGACATTCTGAAAGAGAGATGAAGGACCAATCGTTGTATGGCACTACGGCCAACAAAACAGAACACTCCTTTGGTCCTTCGTTGTGGCAATCAGTTGCCGTGGCTAAGCTGGTTCAACTGCAGAAGCTGTATGGAGACATATAACTGACGTATATAGTAATGTACCCATACCTCTTGCCAACACATCATCATCACATCATACACGTTCTTAGAGGCTAACTTCGGCCGAAATAGACGGTGCCCTTGGCTAATCATAGTCACCACTTCGTAGTTTGTGTTTGTCTCAAAAGGCATTTTGCCTTCAGTAAACACCTCCCACATGGTAACCCCTGGAAAATTAAAAACAAACAAACATATGTTCATGATCATAGAAGATTTCAAACAAGAACACAAATCTATATTCTAGAATAGCATATATGTTAATCCTAAAAATCTAACGAATAGCACATATGTTAATCCTAAAAATCTGATAGAAAGCAAAGCCAGTGGGACTGAAACAAATAATTAGGCATTGCGGAATTAATTTTGTAATCTCAGCGAAAGTCTGAGGGTCTAGTTACACAGTCTTGGCCTGGACCCTTTTTTGCGCAATCTCACCCAACACCCTTCCTTATTGTAGCCCCCATCCCACATGGCTTTTATCCATGCAGATCACGATTCCCAGAATAGCCTCCAAGGGGACCTCATCCTCCCTTCACCAGTGGTAAAGTTGGTTGGATCTAATCCCATATTTCTAACATTATGACCTGACTTACAGGTAGAGGTGGGAAGGCCCAGGAAATTTTTCCCAATGGAAAAATGAAATTTGCTGGTGTACTGAAAAGGAAAACCTCTGATGGAATATTTTCTCTGTTAGAATGAATGCAATACTTTCTAAGACAAATCTGCGGGAAGGGGAAACCCTACTATATCCTTACATTAAAAAAACCTAAAACCCACCCTGACTGGGATAGCTCAGGCAAGCCTAATCTTGTCAGATCTCAGAAGCTAAGCAGGGCCGACCCTGGCAAGTACTTGGACGGGAGACCTCCAAGGAATACCACGGCTAGGAGCCAGAGGAAAGCTATCAAGCCACCTCTCTGAATGTCCTTGTCTCCAACCCCCACTAGGGGTCGCCAGAAGTCAGCCATGACTTCCAGACATGTGCGCGCACGCACACAAATTAAAAAAAAAAACCCACCCCAA